ACTGTTAAAGTACTTTTACGAGATCCTCCTCTCAACAGAAAAAAGACTGAGTATCCATGGGAATCTTAGCACGTTAGGGAGGCCTTTCTCCCTTCCTCTCATCCGCTCTCCCCCGCTGCACCCATGGACCAAGGCAATTGTTTATTTTCTCCTATTGAGGCTGCTCCATTCACTGGCTCTCACATTTACTCTGCTCAATTGGAGTGAGACAGCACTTATTCGGGGAGAGGAATGTAGCGCTCCACTGACAGAGCAGCAAGAATGCAGTAGAAATAATTAAAACTTTTAAAAGGAAAAGGTACAGCTCAGTGTGTGGGAGAACGACCGCGTAACCCAACGCAGTGCACCGGCGAGATTTTCTGCTGTGACGAGTATATTCACACGTCGCCTTGACACTACAAAGTACGGCAGTGTTTGAACAGCACGCAGCACTAAAAGTGGAGCTGGGATCCTTTAAGGAGGTCATTCCCTCACAGTGCTTTCTAAACTCAAACTCCCCGCAGAACAAGGACGCGGTCTTCGGCCTCCTGTAAGACGTGGCCCGTCCTCCGACCTCACTGTTCCACCGTCCCAGCACAATAGCAGCAAGCTGGACCATCGAGTTCATTTCTCCACAGATCTATCATGTCAGGAGGAGATAACCGTGATGACAGTTTCCTTCTCTGTAACAATGACCATGGCTGCCAAAGCTTCTCTGTCCTGTCAGTTTCCATTATCTTTTATCAGGGCTCACTTAGAGCTTGGAACAAATGAGGAGAAAAATGAAAAACCCATATGAACACGGCTAAAACCGCTGCACTGAATGATGAAGATAAGCCGATGCACTGAAGAGCAGAACCAAGCAGTTTCAGTTTGGATTTCCTTTGTGGTGCGTTGCTACCGTACTTGTCTGCCAGATGGCTGAGAATGATGATGATCACATCATCACTGCTTGATAAGAGCACATGTTATTCTGTGGTGGTGTAAATGTGGCCACGAACGTATTTCGTTTTCAAACAGGATGGCAGAGTGGAGAAAACACAGCGAAACGCTAACACTGAGCACACAAACGATGCTAATCTGAGCTAACGTAAAACAACCCTGGTTAATACACTGTATGAGTTTAAAACAAAAGTTTCACTGATTGTTAGAGCAGTTTATGTCCAGCTTGTGACAAAGAGGAAGAGGAGGAGGAGGAAGGCAGCAGATGTCCTGGATCATGATCAGCCCTCATGACATCAGTGAGGAGTAAATAAAGCTGGGAAACTGCCCGAGTTGCACCCAGGCTTGGATTTGCATATTTGCATATTCATACAAGTCGAGATTGAATGCTTATCCTGACTTTGGAATCACAGTCTAAGTAAATAATTCCACATGGTCCATTTAGCAGCTGTTGTGCCTCAGCAGATGGATGTTGCCCAGTTGCTGTGGTATTCAAGGTGTAGGCCTCTACACATCTCACTTACTGCTGTTTGAGTATCAGTCAAGGGTCCGAGAAATAATGAAAAAATAAAACACCATAATAAACGGAAAGAGTTGCAGATATGTCACTACACTCTGTTTTTTAAAATCAAACTGTTGTTTCTTATATGGCTCCTCACTGGTTTGTTTTTGACAGTTAGCAGCTAGCAAGTTAGCAAGCAGCACATTTAGTGTTAATTGCTGAACATTTCAATGTTTTAATAATGTTCATTTTGTGATTGTTTCGTCTTTATAAGGTAGATACGTTGTGGTATATTCCCTCGGACTGTATATTGGCAGCTGTTCAATGCATTCATTGAAAATGTGGTCATAGAAAAGCCACAGTTGTTGAGTTGGAAGTTATTCCCTGAATGTAAAATACGTTCGTCTTTATAAGGTAGATACGTTGTGAATGTAAAATACAAATCTATTTACTTTCAAAGACAAAGAAGAAAAACACAAAAAGGAATTAGTAAAAAAAAAAATTATAAAACTGATAATTCTCTTTAAAAGAATACAGAAAAAAGGTGATTAAAAACCGTTAAGCTAAATCTGTGACATCTACCGCAGCAGTCAGCCTGGACAGGAGCAGGAGACTGTCACACTCAAAACAGAAGTAAATCTCACCTGCCCCCTAACGGTAGCATTTTGCAAATACACCAAGCTGATAGTGGCTCATCAACGAGAACGGAATGGGTTAGAACGTTTGGTCTTTACGGTAGGTAAATGGTTCTTGAATGGCAGGTTAATGATGATGATGTTACCTTTTATTTATATTAAATTATTTTTATTATTTGCTGACATTCATTTGTCTCCTAGAATTAAGTTTAAATAAATTATAAAGTGGAAAAAAATATGATTACAGTTTAAAATATAAATATAATAAAGAAGCAGAAAGTTTCAATGAATTATTGTTGTTGTTTTTGTTATTATATTTATTATTGTTATATGTAATGTAATATAATGAGATCAGCTGATATGATGTGTGAGTTTGTCAGTTAGAGCACACTGGCTGACTTTTCACCTCAAAAGAACAGCAGTCTAAGGGCGAGACAAAGGAAGACACAAAAAGAATCAGCGTGTTGTTTTCACATCTTTCCTGCTCAGAGTGAGCGCCACCCCACCACATCACAGCACCGCTGCGCTGCAGAGCACCTCTGTTGTCATCTGTCACAATGAACAGCTACACCGAGAACACCGCGCTGTACGACTACTACGACTACAACCAGACGCTTGACGACGAAAACGACAGTCTCTCTGTGGGGTGTCCCGGCTCACACCTCCAGAGCACCGACATCTTCCTGCCCGTTGTCTATTATCTCATATTCTTCACTGGGGTCTTTGGAAACATCTTCGTCATCGTAGTGGTGGGCAGCAAAAATCGCCGGAGTGGGCGTCTGGTGGACACGTTTGTCATTAACCTGGCCTTGGCTGATCTCATTTTCGTGTTCACCCTGCCACTGTGGGCCATCTCTGCAAGTCAAAACGATCACTGGGGATTTGGAGCGGCGGGGAACCTGCTGTGCAAACTGAGCAGCTACATCATAGCCGTCAATCGTGTCTCCAACATCTCTTTTCTCACCTGTATGAGTGTGGACCGCTACCTGGCCGTGGTGAAGCTGATGGACTCCAGGTACCTGAGGACCAGCGGGTGTATCCGCATCACCTGTGCTGCAGTCTGGGTCAGCTCCCTCGTGTTTGGCATCCCATCCTGGGTGTACAGAGATGTGATACCTGTAGGCGGTAGACTTTCCTGCCTGGAAGACAACAGCTCATCCTTTTTTCTGGCCCTGAGTTTGACTATGACATTAGTGACTTTTGTCCTTCCAGTGTTGATCATCGTGATCTGCTATGGAACCATTGTCCTGCATCTCAACAAGCACTGTGTCACAGCTGTGAATCCTCGGGCAGATGCCCGACGCAGACACTCCCTCAAAATGGTCCTCTCCATCATCGTGGCCTTCGTGGCGTCCTGGCTCCCATTCAATATTTTTAAAACCATCATCCTCAGCTCACGGCTGGCAGCTGCCCAGCCCAGTTGTGGAGTTCCACCGTGGCAGAGCGACGGACTGGTCATCTCCTGTTGTCTGGCGTTCCTCAACAGCTGTGTGAATCCAGCCATTTACTTCTTCCTGGATCATCACTTCAGACGACAGGCGCAGCTGCTGTACAAGACGTGCAGCACGACCAAGACCAAGGTTCCTCCGAGTCATAACTCTACTGCTTCTTTCACCAACACTGGAAATTCAGAGAGCTTCGGGACAACTGGAGGAGGGAAGATGTTTCACGTGTCGGACTGAGACAAACCCAACAAAACCGCCTGTTAAAATACAGTTCTGTCCAACAACTCTGGATGCTGACAGTTACCATACTATATACAAAAATGTATCAATCTCATTGTAATAACCAGAATGATGACAAATTGTTAGGTAATTGTGACGGGTTTTTACAGAAATGCAGGAGGAAGACAAACAGTTCTGAGACAAATTGACAAATTGATTTCTCTATTTAGGTTTTTGTAGAATTCTGAGAGATTTCTTTTTCAGTTCTGCTTCGTCCACGGAATTTCAATTTTCAGAAAAATAAAACAGTTATAAAGTTTGAATAGGTGTAAATATTTGGTTCTGCTCACTTTGAGGGGTGACAGATGTGATTTAATGAAATGTGAGAATGTAACTTCATCAAAAACAAAGCGTTGTGTCTTAACATGTTTTAGTTATTAAAATCGGACACATTTTGAACTGATAACATCTGTTTCAGATTTTTTTTTTTTACTTACTCCCATTGAAATAATCTGCTTTTGTAAAGAGAAATGATTAATGATTCTCTGTGGTTTGTATTTTGTATTTTTATTCGTGTTGCTGTAGCGCCGTTCATGAAATATTGCTTGAATTGTGGCTTTTAAGGAACAATAGACGACGGATGAATCATGATGATGATGGTGTGTGGTCACATCAGTAGATACAGCTGCTGAGCGGGGTTTGCTTACACACACATACATGTATGTATATACTGTATGTACATACATATATAATACAATATTATTATGTTCTTGTATTGTTTTTTACTATTTTTTTTATCACTTCACTTATAGCCGATTTTAAAAAAAACATTGCAGTGATGCCGATATATTACAGTGGTTTTTATAGCAATTCATTTGTCAAATGTTTTGATACAAATGCATTAAAGATTACTGCATTAAACACATTGGGTCAAATGTATCTTTTTTTTGTGATAAAAAACCAACAACAACGAAGAAACGCTGACAGTGATGTTGAGATGATGATCTAATTTAGTCTGTATAGATCAGTGATAATTATTAATAATATAAAAATATATTTATTGCATGTGACTATAACTATTTGATACAATAGTGTTACAGTATTATTTGTATAAATGATGTTTTGATTGTAGATTTATTTTACAATTCTTTTCATGTGTTTTATTTTATTTTATTTATTATATTATGTTTTATTTCAATCTCCTGAAAAAGAAAACATATTATCCAGTGACATTACTGTTTTACAGTTTTACTCAAAACTGATTACGGTTTTAATTTAGTTCACCAGGATTCACAGCAATTTGTTGAGATGACCAGTATTTAACCACAGCTTCTCCTTCAAATGGTCTTCAATCCTCATTCATAGGATTCATCCAACAAAATCCACAGATGTTCGGCTTATAATAAAGAATAATTGATTTTTAAATACATATATATGTATTGCAGTCACTTGGACGTGAGGAGATGGAACAGTAGCAGATTTGAGCAAAGATAAGAACTTACAGTGGTAGACAGAGGGATACAAACATCTGCAACAGGAAAACCACAGTCGCTGCAGTATGGTCTGTTGTTACACCCCCCTAAATCCCACAATAAGACGAACAATGTCTGATGAAAACATCTGTGTTGAACAAAGGCTGAACAGCAAGACAACAGTGAGAATACGACATCTAGTCAAAGTGAAGTCGAGGACAACTGCACCGTCGGGGTTTCTTCAAGACATTTCATCTCTCTGTTCAGTCAAATGTCCGACCATTTCCTCTGCCCTCTGTCATAATGGAAGGCACATTCTCAGAAATCACTCACATTTTTACGGAGAAGTCAGTTCTATGAAAGTTCAAATGTTCATGCATGCCCACATGTCTTTTACTGTTATGTGTGTTTTGAACGTTGTGGTTTTAGAACCAGGTTGAGTGCCAGTATGTGGAGTTCAGGGGTCAGGAGTTTCCCCGCGACATTTTAGGGTCACTGCCAACACTGTTTCCCACTGATGCTGATCTTTTTGTGTTCTGATTTGAATAAATCAGCAGTGGAACATGGTTAGAACAGATCTGGGGGGTTTTTTCTTTGTCTTTTTGAACTTTAAGATGTGTGGTTTTGAACGCTAACACCTTTGGTGACCTGGGCGTCAAAAATCACCCCACCATTTTTAATAATTTAAATTATAAATTGTCAATCAATTGTATATTATACTTACAATTTGTCTAATTTTAGTTCTTCCACAAAATAAATATTCTTTTCAAAATTTAGGGCAAACAAATGTAAGTCTAAATTTTTATTCTTTTCAAAATTTAGGGCAAACAATTTCTTTTTTCAAAAAATTTAGACTTACATGAAGAACAAATCAATAGTGTTGAAAAAGCATTTTATTTTACAAACAAAAATAGTGCAGGGAGAAAATGTTCAGTTCACAAACTTTAAAAAAAAAGCATTTTAAAACCTTCTGCACTGGTTGCTGCACATGTTTGTCATTACAGTGGTATTTTATTGACTTATTAAAGTTATATTTTTTATAATTCTTTTTACGTATTTCATACATTGACACTTGATCTCTGCTCTTCTTTCTTCTCTTTTTGCGACAGTATCCTCAGGGGATCAATAACGGTCTTTCTTCTCTTTTTGCGGCAGTATCCTCAGGGCATCAATGACGGTTTTTTCTTAGACTCAGATAAAACGTTGTTCCAAACTGACGGATTGAATCATTTACAGATACTGACTTGACAGTGTTTGCCCGTCTGCCACACACAAAGTGAAAGGTTTGCCCTCGGCATTTGCCCTTTTTTTTCAGATGTCAGATTGGATGTTTCTGTGAATCAGTTTTTCTCACTCTGTACGGCGCCAACCTGCTGTTTTCACATGACTGTGTCAGTCAACACCTCTGTGATTCTAACCACAAAACTGTTATTGTCGAAACATCAGTTAGTATTGTTTTTAAATATATCCAACATACATAGAATATGTCAAACTAGGGAATAAATTAATTAAATATATTTTTCTCTACAATCTTTGATTCAAATTTGTTTTTGTTATATTAACACACACTAAAATATTTGTTTTTTTTGTGACCTTGTTGTTTTTTATCCCCACCCAGTATTCTGTCCCAACAACGGTGCCTCCTTTTTTTTCACCTCAGCTCAAACTACAAATATTTTTAAGTAGTGGCGGTTGGTGGTTTCGCTTTGCTCCCACATATCATGGCAAGTGCACAACACTTTATGCCAACGTGACGAGTTCTCACATCAAATGATCAGCAGTGGTTTTTCTACAGCTTCTTTAAGATTCAGATCAAGTCTGCATGAACCGCCCTTCATCTGTGCAAAGACAGCGCAGCATGAAAAACCTCACGGTGAAGGTGGAAGGTCACAAAATAAAAAACATTATTGAATATAGGTCTGTCCTGAAACAACAACTTACCACAGGGTTGACACCAGGTCACAAACTGTTTCTATTATGAGAGAAATGGTTAATTGCAGTTTATTGCAGGATTTAACGACGGTGCAGTGTTTACCTGTGTTAAACGAGTCACTCAGAAATGTATGAAACCTGGATTCTTATTTATGATTAACTTACTCTTAACTAAATACAAAAATAATTTTAAATACAATAATATAATATGATATATATAATATAATACATTTATATAATATAATATGTGTTTTACACAAAAGGAGTTTGGTAAAAACTAGAGGTAAATATGAAGTAATGAGACTCTGCTCTCTTATAATATTAACTTGTTATCAGTAGCATACCAGTATTTCCATATTTTTTAATTTACTAATTTTTAATATTCATGAACTCACCTTTATTTTTTTTAAACATTCTAAAGATGGTGTAATTATTTTTTATTTAATTACTGCTGACAATATGTAATATAAATGTTGTGTAATGTCTAGTGTTTTCCCACTGAGAAGCAAAGCAGCACCTGCTAAAGTGATGTATGGCACTTGGTGCTATCAACGCTCAACACTGGCCATACATTTGATAAAGTAAGCAGTAAGTTCAGTAAGTTATTTATTGTTGCTGTTCACTTTTACAGTGATGAAAGTTTCCCACAAGTACCATTAAAAATGAATCTCTCTCTGTCAAAGAAGTTTACCGGTTTTTAACTGTACATAGTAAAGTGGAATTAATGTTATTTCTATTATCGTGCTTTACATATAATGTTTCCTGTAGAGAAAACGGAGCAGGATGATGTATGTGACCTACAAAAACAGGAAAACATTTTGCCTGGGAAACTCTTGTTAGCAACAGTATCGATCGACGTGTTGACAACTATCACACACTGCCATTTGATTAAACTGGCTTTGAGTTCTTAGTTCTTCAATTTAAACCAGACAATAACAAAAAAATGATCATATTGCCAAAAAAACATGTAAAATAATAAAATCGTTTTCTTTTTTTTTCCTTTTTTTGTAGGTCATCATGGGATGATTACTTATATACAGATATGAACTAAAACTGTGCATTTTCAAGAAACATCAGAAAAGGTTTGACTATGATCCCCAAATTCTACGAATAGTCTAAAATATTCTAAACCTAATATAAAATTCTGAAAAGCACTAATCAGAATAAATAGTACATTCTGTAATTAAATTTGAAATCAATGGCATTTTTTATTTAAAAAAAATATTCTCTGAAGTTCGCCTGTTTTATAACACTTTTTCCATGTGGTTCCAATATCCTCTTCTCTGGAACATAGAGTACCACGTGGTTTACCGGATTAATTGTTATAACGCACTACTGCCATCTAGTGGACAAAGTACACCTCATACAGTACGCCATTTACTTATCCAAATCCCGTCTCTTCTGTTTCAGTATTATACATAATTGTATTGAACCGTGTTAGTGCTATTATGAGAAAACAAGAAAACAGTCGTGTTCAGACCTGTGTCACATTTCTAAGTTAAAAGCTCCCACTACATATAAGAAATGGATGATACGTGAAGCATTCACAGACACACAGAGAAGCTTGTAAATGTTTAATCCGCATCTGTAAATATAACAATGTTCTAAAGTGCCACACAAATACAATAAGTAGATTAAATACATCACCAAAGCTAATGTTACTTGGTTTAAACTATTTAAATTGACAATACTGTAGCGGGTAGACGTCGTTTTGCAGGGTTATCGTGAAACAAAAAATCTGAGTGAAAATAAAATATAATAATAATAATAAATAAATAAAAGAATCTAGCGCTTTAAATAACAAATAAAATAATCTAGCGCTTTAAATATATCCTCCTTGTGTTGTACGTTATACTTTCCTTTCCCTTTTTAACCAACATCGATCGAAACGCCACGGGTTGTCATGGTGCTACGCGTTTGGGTTTTATGCTGGGTTGGCTTTTTCCCGATTGTGTGTGAACGTTTCCACAACTTTTCTTTACTTTTACAGAGTTGTAGAGGTAGCGTCTCAAGAAAAGGTGTGCTCTGCGCTTTAAAGATCTGAATTCCAATGTCTGTGTGACTTCTCTTCTTCTGTTTTTTGAAAAGATACACCAGGCGATAGTTAACTGATCTTTAAATCAACTTTTTTTTTGTTTTTATTGTACGAAGAACTAAAGTTGCAGCTGAAATCTGGGAGATCCAGTGGAGCTGAGATTGTATGGATGCAGAGGAGGCACGGTGCTAATAGGCTAACTGAGGAGTTAGAACGGTAAGAAACTGCCATTTAACATGTTTTTTTTTATATAAACCTCGTCTATGCGTGTGTGCTTGTTACAGCTGATGTGCAGTTGAGTTTAGTGCATTTTAAAAAAAACCGCAACGGCAACAGTAGTACGAAAAGTTAGTGTCGGTGGTTTACTTTGAGAGCTGAGGCCCTGGAGCTTTGTAAAATAGGGTTGGAGTGAATGGATGAAAGTTTGTCTTTAAAGTTTGAACATTTGAAATGAAGTTTAATTAAACAGAATAAAAGTAGCATACAGCATAGCTCAGGGTTTTTGTGTATGTTTGTTTTGTTTAGTTTTTTTGGTGGAGTTTTGGTTTTTCATACAGCATAGCTCAGGGTTTTTGTGTTTGTTTGTTTTGTTTAGTTTTTTTCGGTAACTCACATTCACATTATAAAAACAATATTGTGTAAAAAAAAAACCTATTCACACATGGGAAGTTTCTAATGATGTTTTTATCACCATGGAAACTGTCCTGTAATTGTTTACATTTCCTTGCCAAGTGAGCTGGACAACTGGGTTTAAATGTTTACCTTTGTAAAACAGAGCCACTCGGTGACGATAATGCAACTCACACCGTGTAGAGTTGTTGTTATGATCTGAAGAGAAATAATAATTGAACTTAAGGCCCAGTCAGTTTGCTGTCTGTCTCTGAGAACCTACAGGATCATAACCAGGAAGCCTGCATCATATGAGCTTTACATATTAAAGCTCTGGCTCAAACAGCGTTGTTGCAATTTTGTCATCTTGATGCCTTAAGCCCCAACTTGGTTCCCGTCCAGCTGTACCTGGACTGTGGAGCATATGAAGGTAAATGGGTAAGAAGATCTGACACACATAAAAAGAAAAGACTCAAAAGAAAATCAGCTCCAGCAAAAGTTACCGCCTGTTGTTCTCTGTTTATAAGTCCCTTTGACTGGTACATAAATACCTGACTTCACTGACCAGCACAGAAGTAACCGAGTTTATGACATCCTCTTTCAACAGAAAGGCACTGAGCTGCAGGGAAAATAAAATCAGAGGAAGTATGAAATCGAATGTGCTGTGTTGTATGCATATAGCCTTGTCGGAAAATAGACCTACAGTCTGGGGAAGGTGTTGTTTATCACTAGATACATTTTTTCGTTTCCCTCTATTTTGCAATACGTTTTATCTTTATGTTCTTACATATGATGGCGAGAGCATCTGTACTACTAATAAAACATAAATTACTTTATTAGTGATAAAAACATTTATCAACGGTTGAGTGAGTTAATACTAATTCTATTGTTTTATATAAATCTATTTCTTCACCACTGCTTGTTGGCTTGGCGTCCAGTGATGGTCACTGTTTACATATGATTTGGCTTGCTGCCCATTACACCCTTCTTCATATTGTGTTTTGCCTGCATGCCTGTTTTTTTTCTTTCCATCCAATGACATCCCAATCATTCAGAAAAGTTGAGAAGAAAAAAAATCCAAACTTGGGCTAGCACTAATGATGATGTACAGAGCGATGCTCACCACCTCCTGGCCCATTAGGACGCCTTCTGTAAGGAATTATTTTAACATGGTTACATAACCATAAAACCGAGTTTGTACAAAAATCTCGCACGCTCCACTTTAAACGTTAGCCAAAAAATAAAATAACATATTTCCATTCAATAAATGGAGCAGGCATGTGGGTTTACTCATTGTAATCACAGTAATTGCCCCAAACAAAGACTCCAAACAGGCTGACGCAGAACGTAGAGTCAGAACCATTCTGATTTTGAATCTAAATAAGAGGAGCTTTAGGGCTAAATGTGTCTCAGCCTGTTTCCTCTTAACCACAGACTAGGGCTTGGTTACAGTTTAGAATAACCCTTGATTTACACAGTTGGGCACTAACTTCTAATTCAGTGTTCCACATCACAGTCGCCGCCTCTGCGTGCATACTCATTTAGGATTGGAGCAGTATTCATTCCACATCTTTATTACACTCAGTTAGAGCCTTTAGTTTCAAGGGGTAGCAGGGCAGTGAGAGGTGGGACGGGGGCCAGCAGCTCCGTCAACTGCTGTGTTTTGTTATAAAGCCTCAGGACCTTGACTACATTAGTTCAACTTAACGGCACTTTTCATCTTCGGTGCCCGAATTTAAGCAATTATTATGAGAAAATGACCCATTAGGACTTGGCAGGAGAAGCTGGTTGCAAAGTATCAGGGGTAAAAGTGTGCAGCTGATGTCGCTGCACACCGGCTGCAGCAGCAGCAGCAGCAGACGCAGCAGCAGCAGACGGGCCGTACACTTAAAGGGTCTCAGGAATATTTAAAGAATGTGTTGTGCCAGCTGTTGTGTAACCCACACAAAGCCCTCTCTCTGTCTCTCGGGGACGTTGAGTTGGTATAAACTATCAGTGACATTCACCAACTGGCTTCTTCCACACGGATTGATGTCACTGTAGCAGTTTAATGGGATGTTGCCTACGACAGGCATGACAGACATCACTGCACAGAAATTAGTGGCAGGTTGGGGGAAAAAAGAAAAACGTCTGCAGTGGACCAACGTTTTAGTCCAATGTTAATACACTTTTCTGACTGAGAAGCACACGTTCTAAAATGATTCCAAATGAATTAAATATTTGAGTGAATCCTCCAGTTGTGACATTTAATTTGAATGATCACACATATGCTCTAAAATCCCTGAATATTATTTATGATTTTTTTTTTGCTGATGCCTAACTCCTTTATCATGCTTTACTTGTATGTACCTAGTAATGTTCTCTAAATTCACAGCCTAAACAGCTCGCGTCAGCACACAATCTTCCCATTTAACTGACCCATTTTGTTTTTCTTCTGTCAGGAGCTACACCTATGCTGTCTCTGTTTTTCTTTTACCACAGTATTTTAATGGTGTGTCCTTCTGTGTCTGACTGTCTGAACACAAATAACCAAATCACTGGCCACTGACATGGGTGTATTCTCTGTTTGTCTTTGCCATTCACCAAATGACGAGTCATGCATCAAAGTATCCCTAGAAAAACTAGAACACTGAAAATGGAATTTTTCCCCATTTTTTCTCATTACGGAGCTCCGACACAGTAACTAAAGTCTGGTCAGATGATTCACTTTAGTTTGAAAGTTAGTTTTGAAATCATATTTGGATCTTGTTTAAGCAAGAGTAATATAGTAAATGTTAGTTTCGCTATTATCTTAAAACAGTTACTAGATTATTAATGTTAGCAACAATAAGATAAAAGTAGTATTTAGGAATAACGTAGTTAGGTACACAATGATTAAAATAAGCCAAAAAAAGAAATAATCATGAGCACAAATGAAACAAGAAGCCAAAAAGGCAGACATTCCGGGTTGAAACAGGATTCATGATTTGATAAATGACCTAAACATTTACTGAAAACCCACACCATTTCCGCGACAGGAAGTGGAGGAGGAGGAGGTTTGTTTCTACTGCAGTGAAATGATTGTTGACCAGCTGATTTAATGTGGACCTGTTTAAAATAACAATTGGTTTTGTCTCTGATTGTGTCCTATTCGCTGGTCTCTTCATTTCATATCCACATACAGTTTTTTTTATTATTTACACTACAGATGTGTGTCACTATAGAAATAATAAAGAAAGTATGTGTATTGATTTCTATTAACATACATGACAGTCATCTACAATAGCGCCCATGTCTTGCTCTTTGAGTGGGAGTTGGTATTCCAGTCTCAGTGAGGGACATTCCCATGGTGACTTTCCTTATATCTGATTTGACTTGTTATCAGACAGCTGGTATGCAGCCTGTTTACACAGCGGGCTGCTGAAGCTGCTGAAGCTGCTGAAGCTGCTGCTCTCATGCAGCTAGAAAAAAGGCACTGTTATATAGATGTGGTCTATTAAAATAGTCCGCTCCTCCGGGATTGATGCTGAAAAAATGTACAAGTCCATAGCTTGTTGTGGTTAGTTGTGCTAAATACTATAGTTATAAATATCTCTGGTGTTTTGCTCGAGGCTGTTAAAACACAGACTGACCTGTTCTGTAGCCTGTCCTTGGTTTATATAAGCCTGCTGTACAGTTATGGTATCATTTGTCTCCTTAGCCCAGATGTCATACAACATACACAACATTATATCAAGAAAAGCAGCAGTTGTGATTATTTTAAACTACTGTTAATTAATGTCTCCAAAAACACATTAAGTCCCTGTGTTCACATCAGTGAGAGATTCTTTGACTAATTAAGTGACACTTTGTTCACTGGGCAGCAGAAAAGACGTGGTGTTTTCAACTGAAATGTGCTCTTGGTGTGAAAGCTCTGCTCACTTTCTGTTCATTGTTCACAGCGTATCACCCTATCACAGAGCTGTTCTCAAATCCAACATCTTCTATTCCATATATTCAACTGTATCACCTGTTGAATATATGGAATGATAAGTTGATGGCGTTCTTATCGTGACAGGGATGGTGATGATTCTTACTGTACATATCTACACCCCTGATGTCTGTGTGTTGCGCCCACATCGCTGAAGCCTAATTGGCCGGAGTTAGTGAACCAAATATCTTCTGTCTTTGTCCTGCAGCTTTCTCACTGCCATTTCATCCGAGATGTGATTCCTGAGAGTCCAGGAATGGCCGGGCCCTTTTTCAGAGTGTCTGTGCTCGGACATTCCTGGAAAGCCCAAAATGCATATTGAGATTCAGAATGAATGTCAACCATGCAGTAACGGAGCAGGTGCTGTTTCTGGCACGCTATAAATCAGGACTGTGCCACGAACATGTGTTTCTTTCTTTTACTTGAGACATAAATGGCCGTCCACAGACTGACTGACTCTGTGGACATGAGTGGAGGAACAATGAATGTTGTCTAATTTGTAAGCTCTGACCTGGTTGTCGACTCTCTGACCTCTCAGACAGCCAGGAGATGGCAGCAGGTATGCGTGACCAGACATTTGATCCTTAACCTGTCAGTGTGGTCTGTAGCACTGATTTATAAGGTTCATTTTAAGAAAGTGTGGTAAAACTTAGAAAAGTCATGTAGTGTGGTCTGTAGCACTGATTTATAAGTTTCATTTTAAGAAAGCGTGGTAAAAGTCATGTCATCTTGGTTCAAAGGGAGAGTTTGGCATTTGGCTTTTAATTTTTTTTTTTAATGTCTGATATAAAAACACAATGACTTAAAGATCAAGCACAAGTGTTAAAGGAAACTGAAAGTTTGCTACCTATGATGGTTTTAATGCTTCAGAGGGTCATCGTTTGCAGACGTTCCTCTTAGTCATGCCGTCAGGTATTAGCTGTGTCAACTCGCTGCTGTAAAGTTGGGCTGATAAGTGCCGGAGTGCGACATAAATGATCAGCGTCACGGTCATTGTTGTTGACACAGTTTCAGACAGACATGGGGAGGGCAGGGTTATATGATCCCAGCTCCTGTGTTCAGCCCTCCTCATCAGGCCACTCCTCTACAGCAGGCAGTGTTCCTCTCAGTAGGCGAGTCCCAGTTGTGTTTGTGTGCTCTCATTCACACAGGGACATTTCTACAGGACGCATCTCAGTCTCAGAGTTTGACAGTTTTCTCAAAGTAAGTAGATCTTCTCTAAAAAATGTATCTTTTATTTCATCTCTTCTCTGGAAAAATCCTCATTTTTAATTAATGTGTGATCGTAGTGTTTTAGTTCATTTATGTCGGCTGTGATTTGTACAACAATTGTACAGTATATTCTTGTAACAAAGGCTGAAAAGTTGGAATATAAACGTGACATCTCAGTGAAGCAGTAGTAAATCCTGCACATCTACTACATCAGACCACTCCAGTGGTTTTGGTTCCCTCCCTTCAACGCTCCAGATGTGTAGGATGATTGAAAGTCAGCAGGATTCTAGGGAGAGTTCAGTTACTGTCACACATGTGTGCAGGGTTTAACTTGTAATCAAACAGCTGATTATTATTCCCAGACAAGGTTGGCAGCAAATTTCAGTGTTTAACTACAAAGGAACTATAGGTACAGCCTTTAAATTCTGAATGTGTGTATCATTGATGTTCTTTATTCTTTTTTTTTTTCTTCAAATGTACGTATTAATTTTGGCCGGTCTTTGGACATTGTGTTGTTTGTACTAAACAAAGTAACTTCTGACTTTTGTTTCTGGGCTAAATCTTCTTATTTTATGCGTGAAAGTTGAAGTCTGTTCCTCCCTCAGAGGTTTCTGTGGGAGGGTTGAAAGCATCAGTCACAGAAGGATGGCTCATGATTGTGTCATACTCAGGACCAGACTCTTCCTGGATGTCATGAGAAACTGCTCAGTATTGTAGCAGTAAAATCCCGTCTCGTATGTTGTTCCTTTTTTTTCTCGGTCCTCTTTTCTCGTTGATCCTCCCATCATGGTCCAACGCTTCCTACCGGGCTGAGTGAACTTCCTGTGTGCTGGAATGCAACCACTGCCACATTCCTGCGTTCTCTTAGTTAATGATCAAACCGACAAGCCTTGCTCTTTAATTTGACACCTGCTCCATGTACATGGTCCATGCGTCCTTATCAGGAGACGATAACGGTCACGGAGACGTCATCGTCTAATAAAACACCTCAGACTTGGACACATGGTTGTGTACTCACACTGTGCCAGACATGACTACACCTGACTGTTGTGTCAAGTGGACACATCACACCTGAGTCACTGAAGGAACAGGTGACAACATTGAGCCATGACACACAGTTGTAGAACAGAATATTTACTATTAATTCATTAGAATTAGATTTACTGTTGTTTACCAGCGTATTGGGTATTTTACATAGGGATTTCTCTGAATTCTATTTCTTTAATTTTTTTATTTTTATAAGTTCTCTAAAATACATTATGTTGCTCTTACTGTTGACGGTAACAAACAGAGAGCAACAGTTGACACGTTAATACCTGCGGGAACTCTATCCTGAATATACTTAAGAAACACCTTGAACTTTCAGGTAAGGTCACTCAAATCAGAGGTTGTTATAAGATCTATGGTTTGTCTCCTGCTTGCATGATAACACAAACAAAGTGGGTTGTGTCTGGGTTTTTTTTTTTTTTTTTTTGCAGAGGGAAGATTTGCTGAAAGATATACAGTACCTGGAACTGAATCTTTTCCTCTTCTTGCTTGGCAATGTGTCTGAGATTTGAAATCATATCTTACAGGACATGGTGACCGTCAATGTTGTCCCTGATCACCAGTAAAACACAGCCTACAGGACGCCAAGGAGCTGACATGGAGGGCAACGGAGAGATCAGTGACACTGACAGTGGCATCATTCCAGAGTCTGGTACATTTTATTATTATTATTATTATTCTCTTTGTTTCTTTTAGAGGCTGTAAAGTCGTCTGAATAATTTCTCTAAGCGTTACCGCAGAGGTCACTGATGTCAAGTCAGTCTCCTTTGTATACATATTTTTTATTTATATGATTAAAATCTGAGTTTAAAAAGTCTTTTGTTACCAAAATATAACCAACATCTAATTTATGAAATCAATGAGTCATTGCTTCTATTTTGTTTTATTTCATCATCAAATTCTCACGCCCTGGAATTTGTGACTGCTTACGTTTCAGGAACAACTTTTGTTACAAACTATTTGTGTTTGTAGTTTGTTTATTGTCGTTTTTTTTTTTTTTTTGACACAAGTGTCGACACACTTCTAATGTGAACCAGGTGAACAACAACAACAGTGACAGTTTCTGTTGAACTGAACCAAATGTGACAGAGGAGAACACACCCTGAGTGTGTGTCTATGTTGAGGCTTTAAAAGCTGCTTAGGAGGATTTTCTTAGATGATTCAGACTTGTGACCAACAACAACCATAAAACAAAACACTCAGTGATTTTAGCCACACACACACAAAAAAAAGCACAACTCCTACATTTGTGCTGTTTAAGTTACTTCAAGTACTGGACAAGTAACAATGTACATGTTTGTGTATTTATGTATGTATGTGTACATTACAGAGAGAGAGAGAGAGAGAGGGGTAAAATGAACATGATTAAACAAAAAATCATGTGCATACAATATAAAAGTTTATTCTTTCATTAACCACCCATTAAAATTTCCCATCAAACGTTACATCTCAGGACCAGGGAAGGCAGTGACAGCATGACTATCTACTGAGTAAACAAGTCTCTGTCCACTGGTTTGGAAGAGTCATGCTTTTTGTTACATAATTCCCATGAATAAAACCGGGTTTAATTTCATTTTGGGTGAAAAGGTCAAAATAGTTCCTCCTTTAAAAACCACACGTCATCTCATGTGAGCTTCCCTGTGACTTGCTGCCAGACTTATCTCTGTAGTCAGTGCCTAATGAGGTCACAATGAAAAGTGTGTTGAACAAAATCAAAACTTATGCAGAAAATATTTATAAACACTTCCCTGCAGCGTGTTGTGTGATTGCAGTTTCCATGCCCTAGTTCATGAGTTGAGTTTGCTGATGCAGCATTTCATCCTCTATTTAAGCCACTTTTTCCAGAAGAACAAATTTTCTTTTCTTTATTATTTTAGCAACAAACACATCTGGACCATTCAGATGATAGTAGTAGTTAAGTGTTCTTGGTTAACCTTTTTGCACCTCTGAAAAAAACCATATATCTGTATGCCGTGACTTTGAGTAAAGAATTGCTGATCTTCAGTAAAGGAGGACAATGCTGTTATGTTTTCTTGCTGTTGGCAGGCAAGCTGAAAATGCTGGTTTGAATCTGAATTTTGTACAACTTTTACAGCTCTGTCCTAAGTTGTATCTACTTATATTAATGGTCAATTTGACGAGTCAGCAGTCGAGGACGTTTGGTCCATTCACAATGATCAAGTATGATCTGCTTAGGAGCCAGTGCAAAGAGATAAGAAGTCCCACGTGGCTCAGGGGCCACAGGGTGAGCCCACTCTGTCACGTTAAATACTACAGAATAGTTATTCACAGACCTCTCTCTGTGCCTAAATTTAACACTTCAAAATGGAACAACACTAGCTGCAGCTCTGCTTAAGATTCTAATCACAACTTTGAATTCTTTGAGTTGCTATGCTGCCACCTACAGGATATTTTGTCCACCAGAGAAAAAACAAAAACAAAGCAACTCAAGAGGAGGATAAAAAAAACAAAAGGATAAAAACCAGGAAGTAGAATTGTTCTTATTTCTCCAACACCCTTGTTCCATTACAAATGGCTGCGGTTCATTTAATTGGAAGATTCCCCATAATCCCTGAACTCCACCCTCATTATTTTCAGTTGAAGTTTCTATTAAACGTAGTCGCACTTTTTTTTCTTTACCTCAGTAGCTAAGCTATTGAATCAACAGGTAGCCTTTCATTTGCTTGTTTTTCTTCACACCCACCAGTTAACTAGTTAGTTATGGTCTCCCTGACATTCCTTGTCCTTAATTGAACCACATGATGGCTGCCCGACACAATGAAAAAGTGTCCGGCAACAAAAAAAGAGCCAATTGTCGGCGTAGGAAGAGGAATTTCGGGCTACATTGTAGTGCTGTCACACTTTGTTCCTGTCGCACCTCCGAGGTTTGTCGGTACCTGCAGGGGCTCTGTTAATAATCTGTGAAGGTATGTGGCGCTGAGACCAGTTTGCCCGAGGCCACTCCCACAGCTCTAGGGTTAATCTAATGTCATTAGTCACCAGGGCAGCAGACAACACAGGTCAAAAACTCACACATTGTTTATTGTTGCCAAAAATTCCAGTCACTCGTTCCTCAGTGTCAGTGTTGCTGATTAAAATCTCAAGCTGAAAGTTAACTTTTGTGTCAGTCCGTAGGCCTACGGGTAGGAACATAATAAAAGCACATTTTATTCATTAGGTAAACTGCGTTTTTTTTCACTGACTAACTTTAACACAGGACAGTTCACGTCACTTTGAGGTTTTTTTTTCCCAGTTTTATTATTCATGAGTTTCAGATAATTTGTGGAGAACAGCTTTTCAGTTTCGAAATGTCTGGTCAGAGTTACACAACTCTCCTCCTTATGATGCACCAGGTCCTGTCCTGATAAAAGATTCCATGGCAGTTTTGATTTTCCCTCATTACGTGAATCTTTTTTTACAGTATTTCTATCTGAAAATAGTGACTGGATCACAGCCTTTGTTGCCTTGTCGTCCAAATCATTTTTTTTTTCATGAAAACCACTTGATAGAAAGACAGATGCTGAGATAAGAGAATGTGTGGCTTCTTTCATTTGTCTGCATCTAAATGTCCAACTGTGTCTTTGTGTTTATGTTGTATATTTATTTTTAGCTTTAAATTGAGCACAGCGTAAACTAAGTCGGTTTGCACCAGTCATGCACGGATCAGACTATCAGATAAAGGTTAATTCTTTCTTCTCCTGTTGACTGAAACAGGCTCCGACAGCCCGACCACTCATACCAAGGATGTGACCACACACACCCGGGCCATGAAGCTGAAACACCAGGCTCTGCAGGACCGACTGGAGCTCTGTATCCTGGAGCTGAAGAAACTCTGCATCCGTGAAGCTGTGAGTGAATTCAGTCGACAGACTGAACAGTTTGTGGTGTAGATGTTACATTTGTGTCACATCGTCCTGAAGATCTACACCTGACACTTGCATTGTCTGTTACAGTCTTTGTTACAAGGCCGCTCACTGTGTGGCCTCTCGGCCGCTCTTGTTATCTTTACTCCTGAGCTCAACTGAAAAGTAACAATACAGTCTTTGTGACATGTCAGTCAGGCTCTCACCACTCAGCAGAATTCCAACACATCTTTTTTTTTTTTTTACAGATGTTGTGATTGACTTTTTTTGTGTTTTGTTTTCATATATTTTTGCTGACTCAGTCGGCCAAACTAATTTCAGCATTCCCATAACATCCGAGGTCTGAATAGGCCTTTGTCACATGCTTCCATCCCTCCTCCTCCTCCTCCTTCACCTCCTCCACCTCTCTGTCTGTGCCAAATACACTCTGATTAAGTTGTAAGCTCAAAACTGGTCAGAAACTCAGGTTTCGTGGTGTTGCTGCTTTACGTAGTTGCTCCAGGGTAAAATCCCAGAACTGATCATTCCTTCCTTTTCACACTGGGCTGGGCGCTCCTGTTGGGACACGCTGAGGTGAACCAATAGTAGGAGTGATGCCTCGCCTTAATCTCAGTGACAAAAGAACAAGTAATCTCACTGTGGCCACAGGTTTTTTTTGTCTGCACAGGCAGCTGTGTAGGAGTGAGTCAAGGTCGCAGCGTTAGATGACTGTTCTTTGATAAAGTCGGTAACGCAGCACTGTCACGCTGTGAGTTCATTTCAGATGTAGATGTGCTTTACAGTGAGAAAGTGAGACCGAAAGAATGTGTTGTGAAAGGAAATATCACAACGCTGTGCAACATTTTCCCCCTGCACTCCCATATGTCTCAACATGTAAGGATAGCAGTGATACTTTCACATCCTTTCACACATTACCAGAAATGTTTAAATCAACCTGCATGTATATTCAAATAAATAGCCCCAGCTTGTTTAACCATGTGAGTTATTGCCTGACATTAAATACATTTTTTATCCAGGCTTTAAATATCATTGTATCTCTGTGCTGTGTAGGAGTTGACAGGACGTCTGTCAGATGATTACCCTCTACTGCCTGGAGAGAAACTTCCAAAGATCCGCAGAAGAATCGGAGCTGCCTTTAAATTGGACACACAGAGAATCCCTCAGGGAATGGAGGTAAAAGAAACAGAATCTGCACGACGTGCTATTGCTTTTTCATAAACGTGAAAGCGTATGAAGCTAAGGAATCACACCGACAACTCTTTCTCCCCACCTTCTGTCACACCTGTTTTCCAGGAGTCAGAACTTAGTTTGGTTGATGCTGAGTTGGCTCTGCAAACAAAAATATACGAAGCCGCGCGGAAGCTCTGCCAGGAGGACCACACCAGCAAGGCTGTTAAAAAGAGTCGTTTACAGCAGTGTAAGAGAGAGGAGAGGAAGCTCAAACAGCTGCAGGAGACGACCTTTCAGCTGCGCATGAAGCACGGTCGATCGTCGCCACTCCCTGCTTTTAACATTGCACAACAAGGTGAAAGAAGCTCGTCTGGACCGGGGGATAATTACCCACTGGTCATTGTTCTAAAAACAAAATTTCATTTTTAACACATTTTTGTCTGTGTCTGTTTTTCCAGATCTGGGCACCTCTGATGACAGCTCTCTGTCTGATTCTGTAGTTCAGGACGAAGGTAAAACAGATGTTTGCTTTGCATGCAAGTCCAATGAAAAGCAGATTTCTGCTCGTCATGTGATCAGTTGACTGTAAAACGTCTGGCATTATCAACACAGTCCAGCAGGTGTTTATCTTAAAAGGCTCACCGTGAAACGGCACTGATCTAGACTTTTTTTTTTACATCCGCCCTGAGTGATCCCAGTACATGTGAACGGTGCGCAGCACAAGTGTTCACACACAATAAAGCTGTAGGCTGTGAACGTGTGAATCTCCTGTGACCACAGGGAATCAGAGCTGGTTTTCCTCTGCCCTGTATTCAGTACAGAGGGACCTCATGTCAGTTTTACTCACTGCACTGACGTCTCCACTCTCAGCCTGGTTTCTTTATCAAATAAATGTGTGATCATCAGTGCTGATATAATGAAATGGTCTGTACAGAAAAAAAACCCTGCAGTGAGTGAGTGAGAACAATCTGTCATAGGAACAGATTAGGTTTGTTCTTGCTCAGGTATGTAGCCACACACGCCTCCATACGTATGTGTGATCAGATTTGATGATGCATGTCGGTTTTGGAGTGTTCAGACTTGATCTTTGAAGACGGATGTTTATACCACATCTGGGTTTTTAGAATACTGTGTCATAATGTTGTCTCTGGAATAGAACTAGTTTCAAGTTATGAAGGTGGCAAATATAAAGCTAAAAAGTTTATCTTAAACTGTGAGCCACACACCTGCTGGACAGTCTACGTGTTCTTTAAGATTTCCATAGAAAAATATTTGTATTATTTAATGTTATATATTTTAGAAATTATTTTATTATTATTTCTATCTTTATTGAACTAGAGAAGATTAATTAAAAATGTTTTACATATGATTTTCCAGTTTGAGGAGGCAGCACACTGGACATTAGTGAGTTACAGTTCTAATAATACAAAACAAATGTCATTTTTAGCATAATAAATATGGAGAACCAATGAGGGAACATCTTCAGGTAGATGTTTTAACACCAGAACTTATAATAATAATATAATAATTTAAAAGTGTCTGTTGAGGCCTCATCTGTTGTGGTTTATATATATTTCAAATGTGTTATTTGGTGACTCTAAGTGAGGCCGTGTTGCCCCACTAACCAAACGCAACTGTTTCTTCTCTTTTTTCAAGAGGTAACAAGCCAGTCGTCACAGCCGTCTTTGGTACTGCCATATTCAGCGGTGGTGGACGGCCCTCAGCCCCCCACTGAGAGGTCACAGTTGTCTGTGGATGGCTCCTCTACACCAGTGGACCAACAGTCTCTGCTGCTGACTCCTCATAAACCAGCCCACCTGGGCTACGACTCTTCACTCAGCTTGAACTCCAGCCCAGTGTACGATGATCCTCCAATCCAACACTCGCCGTGGACAGAGACCAGTCTGGACCAGCCTTACCAGAAGAGCAAGAAAAATCGCTCCTCTGCCAAAAACAGGTAAAGAAATTGACCGGTCATCGCGGCTCTCTTCCTGTTGATGCGGTCCTGCTTGTGCAACACTGCCTTCTAGCGTTTCAGTGGTGCTACTACACTCATTGTGCATGTTCATCGTAACGTTGTTAACTTCCCATGCACGCCTGGTCTAGTTTATACTGTACGAGGTATTCATTACTACAACAGTGTATGAATACACTGGTAATTTGTTTTATTACATTAGTACTATTTAATTAAAAAATATTCTCTATGACATATTCATTGTTTTTTTTCTTCTTCCTCTGTGTTCATTAGCCCAGTCAAAGCTGAAGTGTTGCCACCACTGGAGGCCTGTTTAGCAAAGTCCGCTCTGCCTGTGCAGCTGTCTCATCTGAAGCTGACCCGCGCTCACTCCAACAGCACACCATCCACACCAGAGATGCGTGTGCACAGACAGCTGTCTCTCAGGTACAGTTCCATCTTCCACCCTTAACAAACACAGTCACATAAACGTGTTATTCGGTGTGATGGACATATCCTGGCTACTAGTAGCTCTGTATTGTATTTGTTTTCATGATCAATGATTTTTGTTATTGGTTTAATTTAAAATGGTCATGTTCACAGGTTGTCCAACCCAGACTCTTCGTTTGACAAGGACCGTGGTCGTTCCAGAGGTCCAAGACGACGACTGACAGAATACACCATAACACTACCAGAGGCCAGGGGGTACTATGGCAGCCATACCAACTCTGAGGACAGTAACTCTGAACACTCGTTTTCATCATACAACAGCTCCCCCTGTCAGGAGTTTCCCTGTGATTTGCCCAAACAGTACCAGCCTTCTTCACCATACTGTAGTCCCCTTGTGAACTGTGGAATTCAAGCCTTCCCACGCTCCGGCTTTTACCACAATCAAAGCTACACGTCCAGCCCCTCTTATCACAATCCTTATTACAACGACATTGCCTACTCACCTGAGTCAGACTCAGCGCAGAGCTATTACGCCCAGCAGGTTACCTGTCCCCCCGGCAGGTATGAGTATCGGTATAAGGACCCTGCTGTGTCTCTCCAGAGAACACAGAGGCCTTTACCTCCTGATATCAGACTCTCACCGTCTCCAGCTCAGTGGGACCACCCACACTACAACCACAGCGGCCTCTCGCGACAGGTAGTGAATGAACAGCTCAAGTCTTGGCACCGTCGCAGTCAGCTGAAATCACCCAGATCTCGATCCCTCGATCGACAGGGTGCAGTCCGAATGAAGAACATGCAGCTGCGGGAGTCGCCCAGTTACCAAAGTCCAAGGGGTCAAGAACGGGTGAGAACATTTACCTTTGACCTGTTTCTCAGCTTGTTTTCAAAAAATAATCTTTACTATCCAATGTACTGCAATGAAGAAGGTTTAGGTATTAAAAACGACATTTATATATTATAGAGTCTATCACATAAATAAATTACATTTAATTATGTGATAGACTTTTTTTAGACAATATATTGCCACTAGTGTTCACTAATTGTTCAACTCAATAGCACAGTGGCACCACAGTACTGGGAATGAATAAAAGTTTATTGTAATTCTTGTTGGTATTTATTCTAGCTCCATAAACTATTAAAGTAATTTGTGACTGTCTCTCAAACTAACAGGTTGTCCAAAGAGCTGCAGACGACAGTCAAAGCCACTGGGTGGTAGACGACGGCTCTCACTACATCAGTCAGGTATAACGAAAAGAAACTCACACAGACCATTTTATACACCTGAAGTCTGCAGATGGATGGATTTTCCAATTGACCAAAACAAGTTGGAAAATAGTTTTTCTCCTTA